TTTACTTTCCCTCTCCCTTCTATTAGTCAGCACTGAAAAGTGGAAAAAGACTTTCACCACTGCTGCTTCTGTTGAGAAGGATAAAATAAGGGTGTGGTTATGGATACTATTTGTCTGCATGGATCTTTATGAGGGGAAAAGGGGATCACTCTTGAGGGGAACTGAAAGGGAATACAAGGAAACTGTAATCATACATCGGCAATTAATAACTAGGGATCTGACTGAGGGGTGACAGGAGAGGAAGAGATAGATGGAAGTACTGGTTCCTTTGGTAAGAAAGTGCCAGCAGGCTTGAGAAGAGGGGAGGAGAGGATGATTATCCTGACAGCAGAGGATTCTGAACTGGGGTGAAGAGGGGGGGCTGTAGAGACAGAGTCCCTGGATTCAAATCTGGGCTGCACCATTTATAAGCTGCATAACCTCATGTAAGTTACTTAACCTCTTTGAATGTTGGATTTCCCTCTTTATGATGGAGTACTTATTTGATAAGGATGTTCTAAAGATAAAATGGGCTATAAAATATAAAGAATAGTATATATAATAAGAGCTTGGAAAAATCTGCTATTATTATTATTATCCGTCATTCCTTCTGCCATCACCCTGGTGGTGGAAGCTGCCCATCATCTCTCACCTGGAATAATTCAAAGACCTCCTGGTTGCTGTTTTTATATCTMTTCTTAGTCATCTCCAATTTCTTCTCCACCATGAAATTTTTTAACATAAAAAATCCCATCAGGTAACTTTTTCTTTAACACCTTTTGGTAAGCCCTCCATTTCTTAGTATGGATTCCTAAGAGCTTCTCCCTCTAGTCCAGCTTGTGCTGAACCCTCTAGTCCTGACTTACAGTCTCTTTTAGGTCAGGCCATCTTCTGTCTACCTTGGAGCTTTATTAACACGTTTTAGAGGAGCAATGCGTTGTCCTCATCCTGACATTGAGAGCCATGTGGAAGGCTCTTTACTGATGCTACATGTACCTCTGCAGACCTTTGCTCACAGTGCCTCTTGGAGTCATTTTCCTGATGGCCAGTCTTGCAGGAGTAATTGGTCTTGGCTTCACTTTGAGCTCTTGGGAGTGAGTTTCCCGTAGGGAGTGGGTGGTTTCCATGCTCCTTAGGGCTGGTTCTTTCCCACTGTCTGGAAGGCCTGCCCTGGTCCAGCATGGTCTTTGATGATGTGCTTTAGTCTATTTCATCATGGATCCAATTGACCAGCCCATCTGGCTAACAAGCTAACACCATGGCTTCCAGCCTGGCTTCCATTAGCACCAGACATGCCACACGGATTCTCCAGGGGCCACTCCCTCCTCCTTATTTTCTAGTTTAGATGTTTCTAGTATTCTGTAGTGGAGAAGTAGTTATAAGATGGTAGAGGTGAAGATCTTCTGTGCTGTATTTTAGAGTAAGTCATACTAAAATCTGACGGTAACCCCATAGGCCAGCTCTCAAAATGGCTAACTATCAATGTATCTGATTTAAGGTCTTCCTAATGTTATAGGCCAAGGTCCTTCCAGGTAACTGAGGCAGCATGAAGCCCCCTCCCTTCAAACCCCAATTCTTGCAATCAAGTCAAAATTATTTCAGACATGTCACTCAGAGTAACAGTTATGAATTTATTAAAGTGATGGGAAGGGAAAGGTGATAGTCTTAAGGGAGAGAGTGGGTTCTCTCAGGAGAGGGACAGTGTGCTTCTCCTGTACTCCATTTTTTATTGGGGATCAAAAAGAAGTTTCCAGAGAGTCCTGTCCAGGTTTACCTCTTGACTTTTGACTGACAGCAGGATGACATCGGACTTTCAAGTCCTCACTGCCATGACAACTCTAGGTCACCGTGGCCCATAATAAGTGGATATAATTGTATTCTTAACCATAAATTCTTATGGATTTTATGGATAGGGGGAATTATCCTTATCTCTCTGAGTTTCAGGATCTGATCTCTGAAAAGGGTCACAAAAATTTCCACCTTTAGGCTAACTTAGGTTCCTCGCATCAATATTATCTTAGGCTTGCATTTCTCCTGCCGATAAGAGGTAGTTTGCCAAGGAATGTAACATATCCAGGCTACTTAAGGTAGGCAGGGCTGAAGCAAATTGCTTCTTGGAAAAGAAAGCATATAGAGATCAGCATAGTGGCCCCATTTTATAGAATTATTCCCTTAATTTCATGTTCCCATTACTTGCATCTGTCTGTCCTGTCACTAATAGATTCTTGAACAAGGAGTAGATGGACCCAGAGATTGTCCAGGAGGGGGAGCCCTTGTTCCTTGCTCCCAGCCAAAGATGTGCAGGTTTGCATCATCTGTGACTAAGTTACAACAGAGCCAGAACAAACATAATCATTGTTATATGTCAAGCTAAGTAACTAGAAGAAAATTGTCATAGTTTCTGGTTGACATTATCACTTCATCCCACAAAATTAGCTCCTCACCTATATGGAATTCAGGAGAATTTCTTTATAGTTCTTACTATGATTTTGACTGACACAGATGTTGTATCTATCCTTTTAGCAAGATGCAAGCTTAACCTCTGTTTTAGTGTTAACTTAGAAGGAAAAAATAAAATAGAATTTGATATATAAGATACTTTTGGTTAACTGTTTTTTCTCCTTTGCTTTCCTCTTCCCCAGTATTTTCTCCAAGTTCCCCCTTGAGGAAAACATCATGATTGACAGTTCCTACATCCTTCCTTTCCAGCCCAGCTCTTAAGTAGGTGACACACTGCAGTTACTCATCTTCAGCTAATAGAGCAGTTTTTAGCACATTACAGTGATCAGACCACTAAGCTGAGAACTCTTCTCTTAACCTCTTCTTACTTTCCCACAACTTGTAGCACCTGCTGAATGGTCAAAATGGTCATTTAGCAGAAGGTTTAATTTTATTTAAACAGATAGCAGTGATTACTAGGAACGCAAATAACCTCATTAAAAAAATCTATTTTGGGGGCTGGGGATGTGGCTCAAGTGGTAGCGCGCTCACCTGGCTCACATGGCGGCCTGGGTTCGATCCTCAGCACCACATACAAAACAAAGATGTTGTGTCTGGCGAAAACTAAAAAATAAATATTAAAATTCTCTCTCTCTCTCTCTCAAAAAAAAATCTATTTAGGGCATGTTGACTCTGAATTTTAGCAGGACTTATCACCCTGAATTTGTCATGCTGTTTTTGTGGATAAGATAGAGTTAAGCCTTAGTGGAGTACAAGTAAATGGATTTGTAAGTGGTTAAATAAAATGTATTTAATATGTTTTATATAATACCTTAAAATGTTATTAACATTGATCTATAGAGAGATCTCTGGTAATTTACTATAGCTTTATTTTATTTTATTTTTGGTATTGGGGATTGAACTCAGGGGCACTTGACCACCGAGCCATATCCCCAGCCTTACTTTGTATTTATTTAGAGACAAGGTCTCACTGAGTTGCTTGGTGCCTCACTTTTGCTGAGGCTGGCTTTAAACTCATGATCTTCCTGCCTCATCCTCCCAAGCTGCTGGGATAACAGGAGTGTGCCACCACGCCAAGCTAGCTTTATTTTTAAATGAACAATATTTTCATCTGTGGCCATATCCCTTTTAATGTATTTGTCTTTGGAAGAATATATAAAAGGTATGTACTTAAAATTTTCTGATGATACAATGCTGGGAGGAATATTAAATATATTATTATAGCACACTTAATGTTTAAAAATGTTTTTTCTTATTAGTCTTATATAATAGGAATATATGAAAGATCTTGTACATTGATATTAAAAAATAACTGCAATGTGTAGGGAAGGAAAACTGAATAAATAGTTGTTTATGTAAAAATGATCTAGGGATTTTGGGTGATTGAAACTTAATATGAATACATATGGAGATACAGTTTCTAAAATGCTGATGAAATTTTAGGGCTTGTTAACATAGTAGTTCAGAACACTGAACAGCAAAGTCCCACTGTGCATGGTCTGGTTGAACTAGATCTGTAATTTGTGTTTGGCTTTAGGTGCTATGTTTTAAGACAGATTTGGAGAAGTTGGGGTAGATCAAGAAGAGGCTGACCAATAAAAAATGTCTGCAAAATAGGTCATGGAAAAAGACTGAGAGGTTTAGGAATGTGGATTAAAGAAGATTTAGAGGAGTTCTATGAGTGGTCTTCAAATATTTGAAGGTTACTGGGCATGGTGGTGCATGCGTGTAATCGCAGTGAACTGGGAGGCTGAGACAGGAGGATTGAAAGTGAAAGAGGCTAACCTTGGCAATTTAGAGAGACTCAAACTAAAAAGTAAATAGGGCTGGGGATGTAGCTCAGTGGTGTAGTGCCACTGGGCTCAGTCCCCAGTACTGAAACCAAACTAAACGAAACCAAACAAAACCAAAAACAAACAACAAAAACTCCCCAAAACCAATTATCAACATGGAAAAGACAGACTTAGTCTGGGTGACCTGAGGGATGGAATTCAGCATATAACAAGAAATTATGGGGAGGCAGATTTGGTTTCTCATAAGAAAGACTTTTCTAGTAATTCCTGTTCTTAAATGGGAACAGGCTGCCTTTAAAGGCAGTAAGTTTTCCATCAGAGGAGACCTTCAAAGACAATTCTGAGGGCCCTTTGTCAAGCTCCTAAAGGACCATGCTTCAGGAAGGTGGACTGGATGACTTTCACACAGATTCCTTCCAATGCATGGGCCTTAGCATGAACTCAATGCCATCATATAGTAGGTACTTAAGTAATACCTCTCAAAGGGATGAATGCACAAAAGCAAAAATATCTAATCAGTGGACTTGTGCAGTTGATATATTTTTTAGTAAGTGTGATTTTATGGCACCACATAGTCCTTTCATCTAGCATGAGGAGTATGTTATCTTGGGAAAGATGAAGGGCTTGGGCCACGCAGAGTTTAACATTTCCTAGATAACTGGCTTCTCTTTCTTACTCTGGCATGATTCATGCTCATCTTTGTACATTTCAGAGCTATAATGAGCAACACCTTGCCTTCATACTAACATGATGCTATTTCTTTTTCAGGATAATCGTATCCACACATCCAAGTACAACATTCTTACCTTCTTGCCAATTAATTTATTTGAACAGTTCCAAAGAGTGGCAAATGCCTATTTCCTTTTCCTTCTGATATTACAGGTAATGTTTGGGTTGTAGTTCTTCATTATCTCTTAAAAATATTCACATAATTTGGAAAAGTAAGTTAATTTACTCTGCTAAATGTTTGCGATGAGGTAAAGCCATCCTTATCAGATTTTTTAATGTTATTGTTGCTGTTTCTCTTCACAAATGTGGGAGTGCTAGGAATGGGTAACACTCAGGGCATTCATCATTTTAAACACTGAGGTCATTTAAAAAATGCAGACTTGCACTTTATTTGAACCAAACCAGAGCCTAATAATAATGACTGTTCATTGCCTCCTTTCTTTTTTTTTTAAATATTTTTGAAGTTTGTAGAGGAGACTCTTTTTTTTTTTTAAATATTTATTTATTTTTAGTTCTTGGCGGACACAACATCTTTGTT